AACTTTATTGCAATATATATATATATATATATATATATATATATATATAATAAATTCAGTGCTTATATATATCTATATATCCTTTATTATATTTGAAATAAAAAATTTTAACTTATTTATTAAACCGATCAGATTTGGGCCGACATGATTCACACTAGGTCAATTTTCGATCGGATCAGAATCCGACCCGTTAACCTATTTTGACAACCAATTTGAAAATAAAATATTTAACCAATATAAGTGGCACTAAATTAGTAAATTATCCCGTTCCACCAGATGAACAGTATTCTGTTACACAAAACCGCTCTACCATAAGACCAAATCCAACTACTGATCATCAAAAAAATTTTTTTTTTATTCGAAGTCTCTATAAATAGTTTCAGAGCATCCTCGTTCCTCATATCCATTCATCTGGCCTCGTCTCTTCTAACTGTCGCCGGTGCCGCCCTCCGACGAGCTCAACGGCCGTTTTCGACGCTTCTCCGGTGACCGTATGCGTATACTGACGATTCTTGAAGGCTACATTTGCACAGTTCTGCAAGTCCTGAATTGCGCTCTTGGCTTCCGATAAACTCTTACAAGCGTCTTCTCGCCTCCGCCGCCACTGATCGCCGGTATGGCTGAGTTATCTCCTTTGCCGCATTTGCCGTCTTCTACAAATATCTCTGATCTGTTAATGGAGTTTGATTCGGTTAGATTCAGGGGATTTGATTCGGTTAGAATTATTCATTGAACAATGTTGTTTGTTTTCTTGGTTTAGGATCTAAATGGCTCGTAATTCAAAGAAATATTCTATGATCTTGGTAGAACATTCCAAATTTTTTTAGGAGCTGTTTGATTTGATGAAAAAATGAATATATTGTAAAATTTTAGTCAACACATTTTTAATTTTCTGATTCATTTTGATGTATTGTTAACTCACTTATTTTTGTCCAAATTTCTTTTCACTGCAAGCCTACCACATTATAATCGCCTGTCATTGCCGCCACTACCAGTCACCAGCCACCGCCACCATCTGCCATGTACAAACGGTCACCGTTGTCTATCGTCGCCGTCGCCAGCCACCTTTGCTGTTTTGCTTTAAATAGCCCCAATATGATTAATAAAGAAATTTCACACACAAACAAAAAATTTTCATGAAAATAATTTCCTTCTTTTTGAATCTAAAGTATTCCACCTAATTATCTAATTATAAACTTTAATTTCCCATTTAAATATTTTATATGAGCATGTAGATGCTGCGAATTTAGATTTAGAAAGTGAAGGCATTATTATTATCCATATCACCACTGAATCAATAGGTGTATATTTTTCATAAAATCATAAAGTGAAGGCATTAATATTCTTATTATATTAGGATTGTAATCAATCATATCCATCAGACTGTAAAAAAAGTATGATTTGCATATGGTTGTTCTAAATTATGCACTTTTTTCATTTAATTGTACTTTTTCTGCAATTCATCTTCAAATATTTTTATAGTTTTTACATAAAATGACGATGTACTTAGATTTGTGCTTCAATTATTAACATTATGAATATCTGAGAATACAATTGTGCTGAACTTTTAAGAGGAAGCTTTTGCATTCCAGATCTTCAAAGAGGAAGCTTTTGAAGTCATGGCAGATTTGGATAGTTTGCTGCTTGAGGCTGCCGATCGGACCAGCACACCTACAAGGAAGAACCAAACCAATGTCCATTCAAGATGGCAAGGAGAAGCTTCTCGTAGTGGATTCAAAGAAGATGGTTCTAATAACTCAAAGTTCAATAAGTGGAAACACACTGGATCAAGAATCTCTCTGAAGAAGAGTGTTGGAGGCCATTCAGAAAAAGGCAAGATGAGAAGCTGGGGGAATGGAAAAGATAGTAGGTTTAATGGTGATGAATCTGACAGTGCACTATCTATTGAAAGTGATTTGTATAAAGATGAAGCAGATAAGGAAGAGATGAGTAAGCTCTCAGAGCTAAATCGAGAGTTGATTCTTGCAACCAGGAGTGAAAAAATGGATGATTATCGCTTGAAGAAGAGAGGAAGAGACTCATCAACTAAGGTGGAGAATTCTGAAAAAGAGTTCCCTCCACCTTTTCCTTCTCATGGTCATTCTTCTGTTAGAACAGACAAAACCAGCTGCAGAAATCAATGCATTAAACGAGCTACGAGCTAAGAGGATGAGGCAGCAAGAACCAAATTCATACCGCAAGTATTCACTTGCAATCACTGTTCCTAAATCTGATTCAAGTGACAATAGTGATGATAGAAAAGAAGACAAATTATCTGAAGATAACGACAATTATGATAATTCTGATGATTTAATGGCATCTAAGTCAAGACCAATCATGTATGAAGATGTGAAAGAAATTACCATTCGTAGATCAAAGCTGGCTAAATGGCATATGGAACCTTTCTTTGAGAAAATAGTTGCAGGATGTTTTGTTAGAGTTGGTATTGGGATGACTCGCAATGGTCCAAAATACAGGCTTTGTGTAGTCAATAATGTCGATGCAACTAACCAAAATCAACAGTATGAATTCGATGGTCGAACCACTTGCAAATGGCTGAACTGTATATGGGGCAGTGAAGCATCAGCAGCTAGATGACAAATGATTATGGTTTCTAACTCTCCACCAACAGAGGAAGAATTCAAGGAATGGCTGATAGAAATGGAACGTAATGGAAGGCACATTCCTTGCCTGCAAGAAGTTGATGAGAAGAAGGAAGAAATTCAAAAGACGAACACTTTTGTATATTCACCGAGAACTGTGAAGAAGATGATAGAGGTAAATAAATCATCTTCTTCAAGGCCAATCAATGTTGCAGTCGAAAAGATCCGTTTGAAGGCTTCCATCGAAACTGCAGAGAGTGCTGGGAAAGAGAGTGAGGCGGATAGGTTGCGTGCGAAGCTGAAGGAGTTGGAGGATTTGTCTAGACAGATTAAGCCAGCTGATGCAAGGTCTTTCAGATTATTGGAAATGAACCGCAAAAATAGAGCAGAGAATTATAAAAAAGCATCAGAAATGAAGCCAGTTGATACAAACTTAAAGTTTGGTGAAGAAGGTTATGATCCTTCCGCCAGAAAGTGGACTAAGCCTCTTCTTCAATGTGTGATTTATAGTAATGAAGAAACCAAAAATGTTGATCATGATACAAACAAGCATGAAGAAGCTTGCAAGGAATCTCTTGTGGAAGCCATGGAGGAGGCTAAAGATGAAGGGAAACTTATTGACACTAGACCTCCGGTTGATCATGGTGAAGAACTAATGGCATTGCATAACTTTGACTTGCCAATTTCGTTGGCTGCTCTGAACAAATATCGAGGAGCAGAGGGTGTTCAACGAGGCTTCATGGAGAGGAAGCGAAAGATAGAAGCAACCATTGGGCATGCCTGAAGAGTATGGAAAAAGTAAAGGATTCACACTCAGCATTAGTGACTACAAGAGACGCAAAGGTTTCATTTTGGGTACTTAAGACTGCTAGTTGAGGTATGGAGGTTCATTCCATTCAAGCATTGGTAAAATTTTAAATCATTATTATTATCTTTTTTAGGGTAGATTTTAGTCTAAATAGTGAAAATAGCTTTGAAATTTCATAAATTTCCTTACAATGCTACTCTATGTACAGTTCAGGTACTAATTTATAGTTTTTTTTTACATTTTTGTGCTAAATAATAATAGATTACATATTTAATTTGCATATGGGAAAATTTTGTAGTGTATATTTTTTACTAATGTTTTGTTTGGGATGAATTTTCTTCTTCTTCTTAAATTTGCTTTCTAGTAAAAAAAAATTGTTTACTAAAAAGCTGCTTAAAAAATCAATAAAAAATCTATCCCAAAGGAAGTCTAAATTTTGATCAGTCTAATATTCCCCTCCACCAACCCGAAAAAAAAAAATAATAATAAGAGAGAGAGAGAGAGAGAGAGAGAGAGAGAGAGACTTCTCTCTTTATTTTGTTATCTAATTTGAGTGACTTATTTCTCTCTTAATATTAATAATGTAATTGAATGATGGCTACTCTTACAATATTTTAATAGTATTATTTTATAATCTATAATATATTTAAATAGATAATAATTTTATTTAATAATTATATAATTTAATATACAAGACTTGAATTAGCTTAAAAAATGATTAGAATTATTCAATATTGTAATTTTGATATCAAGTTAAGACCAATTTGATCAAGTTTGTTTGTAGGGCATCACCACTAAGTAAATCATCTTAATGGCGCACGACTTTTGAAAATTCGTGTGTGATTGGACGAAAAATAAATCTAAAATAATTTGTTGATATATTTGAAATTCATAATTCAGTTCGTTTTTGTCATGTTCCATAATCATGAAATTCAAGCGATTTTTTAATGCACAGTATTAACTTCGCCACTTACGCTACCACCCTCCATCTCATCGCCACTGCTCGTCATAATTTGCCACCTCCTACCATCCACATCGGCTGCCTCTACCAGTCGCTTGTCGTCGTTGTCACCTGCCATATTTCTACAATGCGTATATTAGAAATGCATCATAAAAAAAATATTGAATATAAATACATAAAACTCTTATTTTCAACATGTATATAATTTAAAATTAATATTTTATAATTTTTAACTCTTAGGATTTACTTGGGATAACTACAAATATTTTGTAAGGAAGAATGTGAAACTATTGTGAAAAAATAACTTTTTCGAAAGCTTTTGTGTATATTCTAAATATGTTCTTTTCTAAGATATAAAACAAATGCTCTCTTAAAATTATCACATGAACAACTCTTGTTATAAAAAATGACTTTTTATTAATGAAGTTTTAAAATAGTCCCATAACTATTCATATATGATTATTTTAATCCCAGAATAAAAGGTTAATCAAATTTAATCTCACAACCATACAAAATAATTCCTTTTGGGACACAACAAGAATTAATTTTGTTAAGTCGAGGACTAAATTAGTCATTCACGATAATCTTAGAACTAATTTAAAATTTTTATATTTTTGCATAAAATCTTAAATTATAGTAATAAATAATAATCAAATAAAATTTTTATTATATTTTAAAAAATAAAATAGTGAAAAAAATTATTGCAAAATATACCCTAAATGTTTTTTTTTGGAACGGGCATATATACAAGCTACCACCCACTTAGGAAATGCCTGACGGTGTAACTAATCTCTCAAAGGCAAAAGGCTGTGTTAATATCCAGTTGTTGTAACGTCTAGGTTTTCCATCATGTAAAGATTTCTTGCTGAGGAGCAAGAAGGTGTCGCAAAGCTTGGAAGAGAAGAGAAGAGATCTCTTCCAGATGAAGACAAGAAGAAGACAGAGAGATGAAATAGAAAATAATATTGCTTCAACTCAGGTTACAGACTAATGTCCTATTTATAGATACAATATGTTAAGGAAATAAAATATAATTTGTAACTAACTAATTTTGACGTGTAAAGGTGTTCTAACATCCCCTCTCAAATTAACGATTCAATGGACGAATATTTAATTTGGATCTAAGAATGTTAAAGCGTTTGGCTGGCAGTGGCTTAGTAAGATTAATGTCTGCGATCTGATCCTCCGAGCTGATGTGATGAAGTTGAATGGCACCGTTCTTTATATGATCGTTAATGAAATGATAGTCGATTTCTATGTGTTTCGTTCTTGCGTGGAACACAGGATTGTGAGCGATTGCAATGGCCGATGTATTGTCACAGTAGATCAGTGTCGGTTGTAGTTGAGGTATATGAAATTCTGCTAAGAGTCGACGCAACCAGATTGTATCGGATGTGGCGGACGACAGAGAGCGATATTCAGCTTCGGTGGAGGATTTAGCGACCGTTGCCTGTTTCTTCGCGTGCCAGGAGATAAGAGTTGATTCCAAAAAGATATAGAACCCTGATACGGATTTCCGGTCGGCTTGATCCGACGCCCAGTCGGTGTCCGTATATACTCGAAGATTGAGGTTGTCGGTGGAGATTGGAAGTCTGAAGTCCAGCGTTGCCTTGACGTATCGTAATAGCCTCTTGAGATCTTGATAGTCCCTGTTCCGTGGTGAGTGCATATGCTGGCATATGTTGTTTGTGGCAAACACTATGTCAGGCCTGGTGATGGACAGGTATTGCAGCGAACCAGCTAATTTCCGGAAGTGAGTCGGAACGGAGTAAGGCTGATCATCGGGTTGAATACGTGGCTTCATGCCGAGAGGGGTGTTCGACGGTTTGCAGTCTTTGAAACCTGCAATTGTAAGGAGATCACGAGCGTAGTGTTCTTGGTGTAGAAAATAGTTGTTGTTATTTTTGATCACCTGAATTCCGAGGAAGAGAGAGATGTCACCTAGCTGTTTCAGCCGAAATTCTTGTTGCAGTTTCCGGAGAACTCCTTGAATGTGGTCATTATTATTACCTGTAACCAGAATATCATCCACGTAAACTAAGATGAATGAGCAGATTTTATTTTGAGTGAAGATAAGTAGAGAAGGATCTGCTTTGCTAAAGCAAAATCCCAGAGTTTGAAGATAGGAGGTGAAACGATTGAACCACTGTCGCGGAGATTGTTTAAGCCCGTAAATTGATCTATGCAGCTTGCAGACATGTTGAGGCAGTTGTGAGTCTATGAAACCCATTGGTTGTTTCATGAATACTTCGTCTACGAGTTCGCCGTGCAAGAATGCATTAGACATATCTAATTGAGTTACCGACCATTGATTTTGAATTGCGACGGTGAAAATAATGTGTATCGTGACCATCTTTGCCACTGGACTAAACGTTTATGTGTAGTTAACTCCGAATTCTTGAGAGCATCCTTGCGCAACGAGCCTGGCCTTGAATCTGTCCACCTGTCCATTTGGAGCGAGTTTAGTTTTGATTGTCCACTTACATCCTAGAATTGGTTTACCTGGTGGAGATGGAACGAGAGACCAAGTAGCGTTTTACTGTAGAGCTTGAAACTCCTCTGACATGGCTTTGCGCCAGTGCTCCGATTTGGAAGCTTGAGAATAGGATGTTGGTGTCTCTGGAGCGTTGGTGTTCACGGACAGATCAAAAACCTGCTTGGGCTTGGATATACCCGAGCGTAGTCTCGTGATCATCGGATGATCTTGAGCTAAGAGTGGAGCGTTGGTCAGCAAAACCGAAATCGGTGATCGTTGATGGCTGGGAGGCCCAATGTTCTGCCCATTGGGCATCTTGAATTGGAGTCGGGGTGTCTGGCAGTGAAGGAGTGGGAGAATGAGATATCGTGGAGGTTGGTATCAGCAGAAGCGGGTTGTGATTTGGTTGAACCGGTCTGTTGGGAGCAGGAACATTAATGAGTTTATAAGGGAACTGGTCTTCATCGAACACTACGTGTCGGGAGATGAAGATACGCTTCGTAGGTGGATGAAAACAGTGATATCCCTTGTGTTGCGAGGAATACCCAAGTAGAATGCATTCCTGTGCTCGTGGTGATAGTTTTTTTGGTGCTTGAGGACGGGTCCAAGGAAAACACAAACATCCAAAAGTTTGAAGTTGGTTATATGACGCCGATTTATCGTATAGGCGTTGATATGGAGTTTGATTTTCAATAGTGGCAGAGGGTACCCTGTTTATCAGGTAATTGGAGGTGGATATAGCCTCGGCCCAGAAGTGTGGCGGTAGAGATGCAGCGTGTAGCAAGGTTCGAGTAGATTCCAGTAAGTGTCGGTGCTTCCGTTTCACAGTTCCGTTCTGTTCAGGTGTATAGGGGAAGCTCACCTGATGGTTTATACCGTTATTTTGAAGGTAAGTTCGAAATTCTGTGCTTGTAAACTCACCACCACCATCCGATCTGAAGTTTTGAATGGTAGTATTAAATTCTGTTTTGATTATATTATGAAATTGTTGAAATTTGGCAAATGTTTCATCTTTTGATTTTAGTAGGTAGAGCCATGAAAATTTTGAAAACTCATCTATGAAAATGACATAGTAAAAGAAACCATTTAAGGAAGGTACAGGAGCCAGACCCCATACGTCCGAATGAACTAATTGAAATCTTTTATTACAAACCGAAGAACTGGTGGGAAAAGAGAGCTTATGACTTTTTGAAACGTTGCAAGAAACACATGCTGAGTTGTGCGACGCCGTTCTTGGTATTTCTGGTATTTCCCGATTGAGCAGCTGGAGAGATCTTGTGCTCGGATGTCCTAGTCTGGAGTGCAACCGGAAGTGCAGATCGGACGACGCCTTTAGAGCAGTGATCTTATTGTTGGAAGGAGGCCTGATTTGATACATGCCATGATGTGTGGGACCTCGGAGAAGTGTTCGATTGTCCCAGCAATCCTTGATAGAAAAACCGTTAGAGTCAAACGATACATAAACATTGTTATCAGATGTAAGTTTTGAAATAGATAAGAGATTGTGAGCAAGTTCAGGGACATGTAGCATATTACGAAGCTTTAGCTTACGATGGGAATCTGGGAGTGGGAGCAAACCGTTCCTGAGTTATGTATGGGTAGAGTGCTCCCGTTAGCTATTGATACAGACTCAAGCCCATTATATGGGTTGGATTGCTGAAAGTTGATGGTATCGGCGGTCAGGTGAGACGATGCTCCCGAGTCCAAGATCCAGTCGCCGGTGGACGAAGATTGTTGTTGAACGGTCAGGGCTTTGGGATTCGACGGAGGTGCGTATTGGAGATTGCATATGTGCCAACAGTTTAGCGCAGTGTGCCCGTTCTTGCCACATATTTGACAGCTTGGTTTGACTCCCTGAGTACTGCCAGTGTGGGTTTATTCTGTGTGAGAAAAGTTCCTTGTATTATTTGTTTTACCTCTTGACCGATTGAATCTTCCTCTGTTTGTCGTGGATCGGGTGGAGAAAAGCGCCACCATCTCGGATTGATTTCTTGAGAGCATTCGTGTTGAAGATTGATCTCTTCGCTGCATAGCAATGAATACAAGATGTCGAGGCTGATCGGATTTAGAGACGTCCTGATCGCCATCTTAAAAGGATTATACATGGCCGGTAGTCCGTTGAGGATGTATAGGATGATGTCCTCTGTGTCGACTTGCGATCCCGCTGCGGCTATGTTATCTACAATAATCTTGATTTGATCAAGATATTGATTCATGGTGCGATCCTTCATTTGGATCTGATGGAGTTCATTCTTGAATTGAATGACTCTTGATCGATTTGTTAGTTGTAGCCTTCTTTCGAGTGTGATCCACACCTCATGAGCCGTCGTGAGTGTGAGGACATAAGGAAGAACTGAGGGAGATATGGTGGAGAAGAGTGCTGATATGAGATTTCGATCAATGAGAGTCCATAGATTGTGTTCTTTCTTGTTGGAGGCTGGCAGACAAACGGTGATTCCTGTAAGGTGGTCACCGAAACCATTTGCAGTGAAATGTTGATGCAATTGTAGTCTCCAGATAGAATAATTTTCGGTGGAAAGCTGTGTGGGAACAAGAGTCTTGATGTTAGAGATTAAAAATTTGAGAGGAGTGGGAATGACAAACTCTGCAAGGCTCTCTGAAATTTCTGAAGTAGTCTTCGTGATGTTGCCGATTCTTGTTCGACCATAATGCCGGTAAGGAAAGAAAGAAGAGGGCTGTGAAGTGGAACTCCATTGAAGACTAGACTTATTCATCTACTACATAACTAGCAATAGAAGTTGCGGCAATTACTATTTGGTAGTCCTAGCCACTTGTAGTCTTTCCTGCTACACTTAACATCTTTCATCATCTATCAAAAAGGGTGAAGTTTCCAGTTGCGGGGTGGGGATCAACAAATCGAAACACACGGTTGCCTTTCTCTGTTTCTGAAATCTACAAGACTTCTCTCTTTTTGTTTGAACTATACTTCTATAGCTGATTTGGACTAGCTTTTCTTTGCTTGATTGGTTTGGTTCAGTTTCCTGACCCCTGTTCTTTAAGAAATTCTCTTAGACCGTCTTTCATTCATTCTTTCTCACATCTTGGTGTTATTCGTATCTGTAAGTAAGGTCTAAATTATTTTGAACTCTCGTAAGCTCTACATTAACTTTCACAGAACAATTTTGGATCCAACTGTTTAAATGGAATTGAACATATGCATTTGCATCATTGGCCATATAATCACAACAACAATAACAACAACATCAAGCCTTTGTCCTACTACTTGGGGTCGGCTATATAAATCTTTTTTCACCATTGTGTCCTTTTAAAAGTCAAATTTTCGTTTAAATCTAATAAAGAAAGGTCATTTCTAATATTATATAACCAAGTCGTCTTTTTAGGTCTAGCTCTACCTTTCTTAATATAAGTCAAATCATATACCTCTACTTTTCTAACCGGGTCATCGGAAGGCCGCCGTTTTATGTGACCAAATCATCTAAGGAGACTCTCTCTAATCTTATATTCCACTGGAGCTACTCCAACCTTTTCATGTATATGCTCATTTCGAAATACTTCACTTTTGTTTGGGTGGATTTTTTTAAACAAAAGTGAAGTCTTTCAAAATATCTAAAATGTGTACTCTTATTAATCACAGAAGTTTTTTTATTTTATTTTATGATTAATATGGGATGCTTGATTTTGACTACCATTAAAAATTATATATTTATTGCTTTGCAGGCCATTTTCTATTACTGGGTGACATCTAACCTATTCTCCCTTCTGTATAGATTTGGTAAGCAAAATTAAAAAGCTTAAATGACAAATCTCTCTAAATAATAACAGTACTGAAGCGCCCTCCAGTGAGGAAGTTCTTAGATCTTCCTGAAGCCCTTCCCAAGCTGGAATGGCATCGCAGCCCAATTTCTCCTTCTTTGGCACATCGAAGCCAGTTCTTCCTTCAGCCTCTCGTACGCAAGAGATTGAATCAACGCCGGCTAAAACCTCAGAACGAAGGGTATCTTCATCTGCTGTTATCAGCCAGCGCATCAAGAATCTTGAGAAGAACGTTAAAGCCAGAAATAAATACCATAAGAGGTGAAGATCAACTGGAAATTTTGGTTCGCGTCATAAATTATACACGATCCTTAGTTCTTAAAATATCGTGAGCTGCTTTTATAGATTAGTATTTTGTGATTAGGCAACGAGTTGCTCATTGTCTGATAATATATGAATTAAATCATAAAAAATGAATTAAATCATAAATTTTTATGATTATTGAATAAGTTTTAGCCAAATTTTAAAGCTTAGTATATAAATAAATAATTTTTAATATTGACTCATATATATATACAATGATAATTTCGGGTTACGGGTCGGGTTCGGGTCGAATCCGAAACTGACCCGGATTCAAACTGGTATGAAATTTGAACCCGGACCCAACCCGGGTAGATAAACGGGTCGGAAATTCGAACCCCACAAGTGCAGGACCCGCAGTTATTTTCTCCCCACTTAAGCGGTGGTATCGCATGAGAGGTGAATCGAGCATGAGTTGGAGGGTTACCAATCACGATCTACTGTCAACTGAGAATTAGGGTTCCTCTTACCACTGTCTCAAATATACTATGATCCTTGTGACATCTGCCACTTGCCAATTACAGTCCCTAACTCGGACCACCATCGACTGTCGACTGTAGTTCCTCCAACTCACGTTGTCTGTCAACTACGGTCCCTTCAACTAACATCTCTCACAGATAATGGTCCCTCAGACACACATAGATCACCGGCTACGTACGGTCCTTCCAACCACCGTTGCTCGCCGACTACAGTTCATCCTATCTCCGTCGTTCGTCGACTAAGGTTCTTACAACCACCTTCATCTTGCCAACCAAATAAACATGCCAAATTTCTCTTGAAAATGTCTCCCTTATCATTGGATTCTTTCAACCACCACCATGTAATGTGTTCTATATGATGTATATTTACTACATCATGCTAAGGCCTCTAACCTCGAAATAATAGAGCTTCGATATTGGCTATGGATTTCTATCATCGAGCATATTGTAATATCTTCACTATGATGTTTATGTGTTTATCTAAGAAGGTTAGAAGTTTGAGAAGGGTCAAATGTAAAGTCTATGAGTCAAATTAAAATTTAAGGAATTGAATTCAACTATTGTTTGTTTGAGTTATTTATTGCTATATTAATGAAGTTTTGGTTGTGTTGATATATTCCCAACTCATCCTTTTATCAACTCATGGCTCCTATCGAATAAAAATTTAATACAATTCTTGTCTGTATGGGTTGTGTACTGTTATATTAATAAAGTTCAGGTTGTGATTATATGTTTTCAATTCATATTTTTATTAACTATCAATTATAACTCACGTGTGCTCATCATAACACCCACATGATTCTTAAAAAATAAATGATTTCTTCAAATACATTTAATTTTGTGAAATTGTGCTTTTTGAATCACATTAAGATGAAATCTCATCTCTTTTATCATTTTAATTTAATATATCAATACAATGTTATAATATCATATTTATAATAAAAATTTGAACTTCCCTTCTAAATATTAAATGATTGATTTTATTGTATAATTAGTTCTATAAAGATAAACAATGTATTTTTCAATATTGAATTGTAAAACAAAATTAATATTTTTTCTCTACTACAATTTTAACAAAAATATCTAATTCTTGATTAAAGTAAGTTGTAATTATAATTAAATTTTTTAAAAATGATAATGTTATTAAATTTTCATTACATGAAATTTTATTTTTAAATTTTTAATCACGTGCATTTAATGCACGTGCAAGAAAACTAGTATATATATATATCTTGAATCAAAATGCCTAACTTTTAAAATATAAAATTCGAAGGGAACATCAAGCAGTCAATCACACAAACTTTCGAGCTGGTAGTTTTTCAACCCTAAATTTTTAATTCAAGAAAATTTTTATAAAAAACTTGCTTTAAAAATAGTAAGAAAGCAGTCCCAAACAAAGCCTAAGGTTTCATTTGGAACGGCTTCTTTATTGCTTCTTAAAATAACTTTCGAGTACAAAAGTTAAAATTTTTGTGTGCTAAAACTGCTTTAAGAAGTAGTAAGAAAGCCATCTAATCTTCTGTTTTGTTTGGGACAGCTTTCTTATTGCTTCTTAAAATGACTTTTTAGTACAAAAATGTAAATTTAGTACTAAAAAGATGTTTTAAGAAGCTGAAAATAAGCCGTCACAAACAAAACTTTAGTTTACATCTCCAACACTTTCTAATTATTCAAGTTACCGTGTGCGCTATAAAAACCAAAACCTAGAACAATATTACATATCACATTGCATTTTTCAAATGTTGAATAAATCTTATTCCAACCTTATTCAAAATGTTTAGTAAGATTTGAACAATATTAGAAAAAAGTTAGTTCAAATTTAGAACCCTAAATGGCTAAGGTTCGAGTAAGGATTGCTTCTAATTTGAAGAAGGCCCGATCGAACTTCGAAGAAGATTCAAATATGAGTTGAACAAGATCTTAGCATTGGTTCGAATCCCAATTTTGACCCATTTATTAAGCGGATCATGTTCGGGTCGATTGGATTCAGATCGGATCAGAATCCGACTCGTTAACCTATTTTGACAATCCTATTTGAAAATAAAATCTTTAATTAGAAAATATTTAATCAATATCAGTAGCACTAAATTAGTAAATAAACCCATTCCACTAGTTGAATCCGGATTTTTTTCCACTATAAACAGAATTCTGTTACACAAAACCATTCTCCCATCAGACCGGATCCAACTACTGATCTATAAATAGTTATAGAGCATCCTCAAATCCATTCATCAGGATTTGTCTCTTCTCACTGTCGTTGGTGCCGCCCTCCGACGAGCTCAACGACTGTTTTCGACGCTTCTCCAGTGACCGTATGCGTATACTGACGATTCTTGAAGGCTACATTTGCACAGTTCTGCAAGTCCTGAAATTGTGCTCTTAGCTTCCAATAAACCCTTCCGGCGTCTTCTCGCCTACGCCGCAACCGAATGCCGGTATGGTTCAGTTACTTCCATTGCAAGTTTGCCGCATTTGTCTTCTTCAAATATCTCTGATCTGTTAATGGAGTTTGATTCAGTTAGAATTATTCAATGAAAAATTGTTAACAATGTTGTTTGATTTCTTGGTTTAGGATCTAAATAACTCATAATTCAAAGAAATATTCAAGCGCTAACTCTAAGTTCTAGATTTTTTTAGGGGCCATTTGATTTGCTGAAAAGGATAAAGAGTAAAAAGAAATGTAATGTAAAAGAAAAATTGATTGTTTGATTTGATGAAAAAAAAGAGACTATATTGTATGATTCCAGTGAACACATTTTTCATTTTATGATTCCTTTTTATGTATCGTAAACTCACTTAGTTTTGACCAAATTCCTTTTCACGGCAAGCCAATCACATTATGTCCGCCCGTCATTGCCGCCACTACCAATCACCGGTCACCGCCACCATCTGCCATGCACAAATGACCACCGTTGCCGATTGTCACCATCGCCGGCCACCTCAATTGTTTTGATTTAAACAACCCAATATGAATAATTAAGAATTTTCAAACAAAAATAAAAAATTTTCATGAAAATAATTTTTTTCATTCTGCATCTAAAATATTCAGCCTAATTACATTATTATAATTGATATACTTTAATTTACCAATTAATTATTTTATACGAGCATGTAGATGCTACGAATTTAGATTTAGAAAGTGAAGGCATTATTATTTTTATCCATCTCAGCACTGAATCAATAGGTGTATATTTTTCCTAAAATGATACCAAATTCTATTTAAATATACATTCCAATATTGCTATTATATTAGGCTGCAAAAAAATATGATTTGCATATGGTTGTTCTAAATTATGCAGTTATTTTCATTTAATTGTACTTTTTCTGTAATTCATCTTCAAAGATTTTTATAGCTTTTACATAAAATGGCGATGTACTTAGATCTGTGCTTCAGTTGTTAACTTTCTAAATATCTGAGAATACAATTGTGCTGAACTTTTAAGAGGAAGCTTTTGAATTCCAGATCTTCAAAGAGAAAGCTTTTGAAGTCATGGCAGATTTGGATAGTTTGCTACTTGAGGCTGCCTGTCGGACCAGCACACCGACAAGGAAGAACCAAACCAATGCCCATTCAAGATGGCGAGGAGAAGCTTCTGGTAGTGGATCCAATGAAAATGGTTATGATAACTCAAAGTTCAATAAGTGGAAACACTCTGGATCAAAACTCTCTCTGAAGAAGAGTGTTTAATGGTGATGAATATGACAGTGCACTATCTATTGGAAGTGATTTGTACAAAGATGAAGCATATAAGGAAGAGATGAGTAAGCTCTAAGAGCTAAATCGAGAGTTGATTCTTGCAACCAGGAGTGAAAAAATGGATGATTATCGCTTGTAGAAAAGAAGAAGAGACTCATCAACTAAGGTGGAGAATTATGAAAAAGAGTTCCCTCCACCTTTTCCTTCTCATGGTCATTCTTCTGTCAGAACAGACAATCCAGCTGCAAAAATCAATGCATTAAACGAGCTACGAGCTAAGAGGATGAGGCAGCAAGAACCAAATTCATACCGCAAGTATTCACTTGCAATCACTGTTCCTAAATTTGATTTAAGTGACAGTAGTGATGATGGAAAAGAAGGTAAATCATCTGAAGATAACAACATTGATGATAATTTAGATGATTTAATGGCATCTAAGTCGAGACCAATCAGGTATGAAGATGTAAAAGAAATAACCATTCGTAGATCAAAGCTGGCTAAATGGCATATGGAACCTTTCTTTGAGAAAATAGTTGCAGGATGTTTTGTTAGAGTTGGTATTGGGAGGACTCGCAACGGTCCAAAATACAGGCTTTGTGTAGTCAATAATGTGTATGCAACTAACCAAAATCGACAGTATGAATTCGAAGGTCGAATCACTTGCAAATGGCTGAACTGTAAATGGGGCAGCGAAACATCAACAGCTAGATGGCAAATGATTATGATTTCTAACTCTCCACCAACAGAGGAAGAATTCAAGGAATGGCTGAGAGAAATGGAACGTAATGGAAGGCACATTCCTTGCCTGCAAGAAGTTGATGCGAAGAAGGAAGAAATTCAAAAAACTGGCACTTTTGTATATTCACTGAGAACTGTGAAGATGATGATAGAGATAAATAAATCATCTTCTTCAAGGCCAATCAATGTTGCAATCGAAAAGATCCGTTTGAAGGCTTCCACTAAAACTGCAGAGAGTGCTGGGAAAGAGAGTGAGGCGGATAGGTTGCGTGCGAAGCTGAAGGAGTTGGATGATTTGTCTATACAGATTAAGCCAGTTGATGCAAGTTCTTTCAGATTATTGGAGATGAATCGCAAAAATAGAGCAGAGAATTATAAAAAAGCATCAGAAATGAAGCCAGTTGATACAAACTTAAAGTTTGGCGAAGAAGGTTATGATCCTTCCGCCAGAAAGTGGACTAAGCCTCTTCTTCAATGTGTGATTTATAATAATGAAGAAACCAAAAATGTTGATCATGATACAAACAAGCATGAAGAAACTTGCAAGGAATCCCTTGTGGCAGCCATGGAGGAGGCTAAAGATGAAGGGAAACTTATTGACACTAGACCTCCTGTTGATCATGGTGAAGAACTAATGGCATTGCATAACTTTGAATTGCCGATTTCGTTGGCTGCTCTGAACAAATATCGAGGAGCAGAGGGTGTTCAACGAGGCTTCATAGAGAGGAAGCGAAAGATAGAAGCAACCATTGGGCATGCAGTGCCTGACGAGTATGGAAAAAGTAAAGGATTCACACTCAGCATTAGTGACTACAAGAGACGCAAAGGTTTCATTTTGGGTACTTAAGACTGCTTGTTGAGGTATGGAGGTTCATTCCATTGAAGCATTGGTAAAATTTTAAATCATTATTATTATCTTTTTTAGGGTAGATTTTAGTCTAAATAGTGAAAATAGCTTTGAAATTTCATAAATTTCCTTACAATGCTACTCTATGTACAGTTCAGGTGCTAATTTATAGTTTTTTTTTACATTTTTGTGCTAAATAATAATAGATTACATATTTAATTTGCATATGGGAAAATTTTGTAGTGTATATTTTTTACTAATGTTTTGTTTGGGATGAATTTTCTTCTTCTTCTTAAATTTGCTTTCTAGTAAAAAAAAATTGTTTACTAAAAAGCTGCTTAAAAAATCAATAAAAAATC